GACTGCACCCGCGACACCCAATAATGACCTCACCATGCTCAGCCTCCCGCTCCAAATCTTCCTCATTGACCAGGAACCCGCGCTCATCACCGCACCGACATCCGCGATACCAGCAGTCGCCGTTGCCGCCTTCCGCCTCCTCACACGCAAGATCCTCCAAATCCACTATCTCCAAGCCGGTGTGGAACACATCGCCAGTCTTCTCCCGTCCCGCGACCTTCAGCTTATCCAGACGCAGAGATCGATTATACTCGGCGCTGAGGACGGGGTCCGATAGGGTTTTGTAGGCAGTGGTGATCTGGTCGATGGTATAGAGTTGTTGCGACGAATTGTCAACGGATCTGGCAAAGAGAGGGTTCGGAGTAGATGCGGATGTAGAATTATTCGAGCCGCCTAGCCCGGTTTCCCTTGCGACAGCACCCGCCTTGTCCGGGTGGTGTTTCAGCAATGCTTTATGGTATGCGATCTTAATCTGCTGCTTGGAGAGGACTGTCGACGAAGACCCCGTGAACGGCAGAGACAGGATCTCGTAGAAGTCCACAGCATGCACCGTTCTCGTCATATCGATAAAATGTCTTTTTCTTTCTGTTCAGGGTCTGTTCGTCGTATCTGGGTGGTTGCGCTGTTTTCGTGTCCCGCGCTGAGTCGAGCGACCAGTCGGAGGTGCGCGCCAGGCCGTAAGAGTGACGCCTCGAGGTCTAGCGGAGAGGTCCAACCGTGTGTATTCCAGGTAATTATGATAATCTGGGGTAGCAGGGGTGCTACAAAGCGGGGTTGGTGAGCTTTGTTGCTCAGTAATGTGAGGTTTGTAGGTTTTAAAAATGGCGGGTTGCCCTTGCACGCCACTTTGGGAGAGGGCCTTCCGGACCCATACCTGTTGATGTTGGGCCTTGGATCCTTTTCTCTCCTTTGTTTTCTCGATATCATGTATTTTTTTATTTTACAATATCGATGACCTAGGTGTTCTCTGGACGCAATACAACCCTGCCAAACTTCGCCCATCGGCGATGGCCCGCCCCAAGTGAACCATGCTAATGCTACATCCTACCCAAGGCGAAAACTTACATGCCGTGAACACAGCTGGAATGCAAATATGGAAGGAAATCTATGATTCCACTGGCAACAAGAAAAATAAATTAGTGAGTACCGACTCGGATATCAAGACAGGCAAATGAAAGGATATGGGATTATGAGGCACTTTTTGAGCAATCCCTTTACTCAGAATCAGAAGTCTTGAAGACGATGCGGTCGTCAGTCTTGAAGGGCACACCGAGCTCAATGAGCTTGACAAAGACATCGGAGAACTCCTTGAAGAAGGCATCGCTGTCCTTGGCATAGCGCTCGACATGCTTCTTGAAGCCCTTATCCTTGATAAGAGCCATATCAGTGGGCAACATCATGAGAGTGCCAGTGGTCTTGTCAGTGAACTGAGTCGGGCCGTTCCACTTCTTCTGGACCCACTTCTCCTCAGCAAGTAGGCGGAAGAACTCATTGGTGAACACAGTAGGGCTGAAGTCCCAGGGGCCGTCGTAGCCGGAACGATCGGCGTGGCAGCGGCCTAGGGCATGGGCACCGATCAGTGCAACCATCTCGCGGTCATCAAAGCCCATGCGGGAGAATATATCGCGGACGTGACGATGGTCCTTGGCGGCGTCAGGAAGACGGCCGTCAGGAGTGCAGGCAGCGGCGTCCCTGTCCTCACGGCCGGGTCTCCAGGGGATGGTAGGACCACCCAGCTCCTGGATGGCACAGGCACCACCGAGAGTCCACAGATCGGAGTAAGTGATCCAGGGGAACTGAGCCTTGATGGGCTCGAGGAAGTCGCGGGCATTCTTGAGACCGGCATTGGCGCCGTGATCAGACTCTGGGGCGAATCTCATAGTAGCGCCGTTGCTACCTCCAGTGCCAGTCTCCTTGTCATAGGTACCACTTGCGTGCCATGCGAGACGAACAAGGACCTATTGAGCAACAAAAAAATATATAGGTTAGCTCTTTGGCCTTGGATTACAACATGGAGCAGAGCTTGGGAAGTGACTGCACTTACGGGACCATAGCTGCCGTCATCATAGTCGGTCTCGTCCTCCAGACGGCGAGCGATAGCGTCGTACACCTTCTGGTAATCGGCCTGAGTGGGGACGAAGGGCCCCTTGGGGGAGGAGTCGCCGTTCAGGTAGAGGTACGCTCCACCTGCACCGAGGGCACCTAGACCAAGAGCCCAGAGGCCAAAGGATGAGCCAGACTTCTCAGAGCCAGCTTCTGAAGCATATCCGCGACGACCAGAGGCGCGGAGACTATTGGCGGGGATGGCGAAACGGGTGCTGCGCGCAGCAGGGCGGAAAGAGGAGGTTGGGGTTGAGCGCAGGAAGGCCCGGGAAGCAGATCTGGCAGCCGAAGCCATTGTAATAGGATAGAGAGTGTGTGAGACACGAAGTCTTAATGGGTATCACTCAAGGAAAGGAAAGGAAAGGAAACGTGGGAGTACAAAGAGAGGAGGGAAGAACCGGGGGGATTTGTACTTCTCCTGTCCCATTTTCTCTATGCAGTACAACCCTGAGCCAATACTTCGGTACAACGTACAGAAGCTGACGGAACCGCAGCCAATCAAGGGGGCCACATATGCTAATTGCCTCGACGTTTTCGTCTCATCTCCGCATTTCGGTACATCACCGTACATCCCCAGACTTTCACTTTTGTCAACTATTATCTTTGTGTCTCAAGGTATAATCCGAGGAGATCGTACTTATTGAACAGTACTCCGTACACAGTCCAGACTGACAGAGGCGTGAGTAAAATGGTATCTCGGAAATGTATTATTAACAGCCAAGTGCTGTTTGGTCAATATTGATTGATCCACTCTGGCTCCCTTCCGACATGCTTACCTGATCCAAACGGTCTAGTTACTCCCAGGCTTCGTGATAACAAAGGTCTAGATACCTTATAATTATGTTATACATCTATATTCTCTATTATTTAATAAGCTAAGTTATTTATTAATGTGTTCTAGATCTCTTGGCAAAATTAAACGTTTTCAATGGTCTCGATCTTATTACCCATGGTTCTAGCTATCTGATTGCCTATATCCATGGATAGTACTTCTATGACCTGGAATGATGCCATGCGATTCCTTGGGTGATGGATGCCTATGTATCAATTACTGGCAGGGGTTATCGTGTTGGCAGTGTGGAGGAAATAGATACAACATATACATATTCTTGTATGCCACAGAGAGAGGACTTGAACACATATGCCCTGCTCTCTTCTCTGATCCTGGAACTACCCAAACGCTTATACTATTTGCGTTCATGTTCCCTTCCTCTTCGCAAACAGTGCTCTCGATGAATCCCCCAAACGCGTCACAGTATCAAATGCTTACAGATCAACTACCTCGTCAATGCTATAATGAGAAACCAAATTGGCCTTGGTTGCCTCTTGTTTCTTAGTCTGGACGATGGAGTCGATTTCCACCCGCTCCTCTCTACCTCAATCTTGGATCTTTTCCTTATGAGCAACGACTCGACCAAAGGCAGCAAAGTGCACCACAACGCGACGGTCATTTGAAAAGGTGACGCGGTAACAAATCTTGAAAGTGCCATTCAAAAGCCATGGAGCTGTTAAAGGTTTACTGCCGCAATGCCGGGAAGCAAGCTCGCTCGCCAATTCCTCTGGTGAGTTTCGGAGCAGATTTTGAATACACACTTGGAAAAGTCGATCTGACTACTGTACTGCAAGATTGTCAAAGTCCATTTCGCATGCGCTGGGAGAAGGATGTACGAGAACAAAAGTTAGTACGGGGTACTCTGTATGGAGTAGACAGTGTCTGCTTTTGGGTAGTGCAATTCAGTGGCATGGTCATGTGACACATAAGCCGAACTTCGTATATGAAGGAAAAAGCACAAAAAGCACAATGATTTAAGTATCCAAGGAATTGGAAGGGAATATGACATAGAAATTTGAATAAATTTGAATATATCTTTCATTATTAGTTGGAAATGTCCGTCGTAAAAAAGTCCTGCTGTTCAATAGATATGAACACCAGGGTGGAGTAGACGCAGCTCTGCTAAAAACTGTTTGGTTTTGATATTCCACGAACGAACGATTATAAAATCACCCAAGAGACGGCAGTGCCACAGGTAGGCACCACGCGGGTTATGTGGTTTGAAATTTACATATCTGAATGTTGGATTCAAGTCCTCAACAATCCCCGACATTAAAGGATTGGACTCTCGAGTCTCCAACACGAATGGTTAGAGGAGAAGAAAAAATGTGAAGTGAAAAAGCTTTTATCTTAACCTGCGTAACACGTGATTTGACTAGCGTCATCACATGACCCGGCCTTTTTGTATCGAAAATTTCCGCGCAAATTGGGAACTTTTCTTCTTTACACTTATTCGAACGCATAATCAACCGCCAATTCCTCGTTCATAGGATGGTTGGTCATATTGGCGTACTAGAAGATATTGGGTAACATTATGACTTCTCGACGGCTCCGAACAGGCTTCAGCCTTTAGGCGCATTGGTAGATGCGAGTCATTGCTGTCCAGACATGCCATATTAAAATTTTCCCCTTAGTATTATTAATATACATAATCTGTTGACACGAACACCCGTATGAGCCTAGGCTCGGCTATAAAAACCTCAAGACTTTTTAGAAGTGTTCTAGAAGAACCTGTAGAGTCAGCTATGCTGAAAGAAACACGGAACGAACGATATACGATGTAGCAGAATGAGCTTATCAACCCAATTCAACTCAACTTTGCAACAGTTGAACCAATTCCTTCATGTCTTGACTCTCTAGTACTGCCCGACTACACCGTACTTTTCTTTACTCTCTTTACTATACTTCAATAGTGTAGATGTATGTCTCATTTGGAATGATCTGCCCCTCGGACGTCAATCGAACCCTTCTCCGCCCCGGGAACCAGAATTCTTCCCCTATTCCACTTTCTTGTATTGCTGCCACTCCTTTTATTTATTTATTCTTGTAATTATTTTTTTGTATCATGGCCCCTGGTATCAGCAAGCGCCAGCAGGCGCGGAATGAAAAGACCTTGACGGAGCTGATCCGGACCGTTCCTGGCAATGACCGATGTGCCGATTGCGATGCCTTGACCCCAGGTTAGTCCCAAGAGATCCTTATTGTTGACCACACTAATTCTTATTTGATTAGGATGGGCAAGCTGGAATGTATGCCACTGCTTCCTTTACCTTCGAGCGAATCCACAAACTGACTGTTCGTCTCCGATAGATGGGCATCTTCCTTTGCATGCGTTGCGCCGCACTCCACCGAAAGTTGGGCACACATATTTCCAAGGTTAAATCTTTGACCATGGACACCTGGACGTCAGAGCAAGTTGATGTGAGCACAATCCGGCACGCAGTAGCAGAGGTCACGAGCTGACAAAGTGGACTCTATCAGAACATGAAATCGCACGGTAACATCCTTATGAACAAAATGAACAACCCGCGGGGTATCAGGCCGCCAGTTCCTACCGACATTGACGAGGCCGATGCATGCATGGAACGGTTTATCCGGCAGAAGTATCAACATCGCTCCTTGGAAAATGGGAAGCCAAAGCCCCCGAGCAGGGAGGATTCGAGTTACTCCAACCCTAGGACTTCGTCCCCCGTGGAGTCAAGAAAAAACGACTATAACATATCTCCCGAGGGTTCTCCTCCTCCACTTCCGCCTAAACCTGGAAGGTTCTTCAAGTTTGGTCTACGGTCGTCATCCTCTACCTCAAACCTCCGTCGATTTGGTGGCAAGCCCAAGGTGACTTCGCCAACCTTGGACAATAGAGCTTGGTCACCACCACCATTGCCTTCCAGAAGGACGACAGGGCTTGGTACGCCTGTCGCTGATGTGGCAACGGCATCTTTCGAGTCTAAAATGGCGGCATTGCAGGACATGGGATTCACCAATGACCGACGAAACGAGATGGTTCTCAAGGGACTCCATGAGGATCTGGATCGAGCGGTCGAAACACTGGTTAGGCTGGGCGAGGGGAGCAACCCTTCATCAAGATCCAGGACTCCAGTCGGGACCAGCACTGCTGCATCTGCGCGCATAGTAATCTCGAAGCCCGAGACGTCCAAGAACCCATTCCCGGTCAAAACCGACAACATATTCCCCGAGGTTTCCAACAACCCATTTGACCGGGCAGTCTCAAATCCTGTGCCCCTGTCGCAAACCCAGCAACTACAGACCGCTTCGTACAACCCATTTGATCAGCTAAACCCGAAGCCGGCCTCTACGCAGCCTTTAGAATCATCTTTCCAGGGCCTGCAGGTTTCCCAGCCTTTGTTCCCTCACTCCACTGGTGGATACCCGAACCAGACAAGCTCCATGCAGCACTCTGTGTATCAACAGTCTTATACACCTCCGATCACATCGACGTTCTCGCAGTCTCCGTATGTTACCTCGCCTCAGCCAATGGACAACACCTACAATCCATTCAACCAGGCACCCCCGCAGCCGCAGGGTGGCTTGGCCAGTCAGACATATCCCAACCCCAATTCGCCGCAAACGAACCCCTTCTTCAACAATGCGCCGCAAAATCAACCCATGCAGCCGCAACAGCAGCAAGCGACCCCATTCGCAACAAACTCAGGAGGACCTGGATTCCCTCAACATGCAAATACCATGCCGGTCATGTCTTCCACCTCGCCATTTGGACCAACTGCTTCTTTCCAACAGCAACAGCAGCAGCAGCAGCAGCCATCAAATGGTCTGGGAGCTTACAACCCGTTCCAGCAAGGGCTGGCGCCGAACACAGCACAGAACGCAGGCGGCTTCTCTGGCAAACACCAGCAGGCGCAGCAGCTCATGCCTCAACCCACTGGAATGGACAAAAACAGCATTCTTTCATTGTACAATATGGGGCCTGCGCAGTCTACTATGACATCCATCCCCGAGCAACCTCAACAATTCCAGCAAAACCAGCAAAACCAGCAGCAACAGCAGCAACAGCAGCAGTCCCAACCTCAACCCCAGCCCCCCACGATGAACCCCTACTCCCAACAATCAAACCCATACACCTCCATGCCTCAGACCCAGCAAGCCACAAACTTCCAGCAACAGCAACAGCAACAGCACCAGCAACAGCAACAGCACCAGCAACAGCACCAGCAACAGCACCAGCAACAGCAACAGCACCAGCAACAGCACCAGAGCCAGCCCCAGCAAAATTATCAGTCCCAGCAAACTACCACCAACGCCCAGCCTACCACATCCAACAACCCATTCTTCGGCACCGCCCCCACAGGCAGCGGATCCGGTCTTGCTGCACAAGCAGGCATCAACCCATATCAGCAGCAATCCTCGGGGCTAGGAATTGGCGGCATGAATGGCCAACCCGGGGCTGGAACCGCCCCTGGAACCACTCCAGCGGTAGGAACGAATAACTCCCCATTTTCGGGAATGAGCAGTCCCCCCTTTGCAGGAGCAAACAGCTCCCCATTTGCTGGAGGGAAGTCCCCATTTTCAGGCCCGCCGCCCACGAACTCGGCGTTCCAACGCTCACACATGAGCCAGCCAAGCGTTGATGTGAGCGGGCTGCAGAGTGGTCGCCATAGCCCTGATGCCTTTGCTAGTCTGAGTGCTCGCTATGGTTGAGCTGTATGACTTTGACCTTGGATAATAAGTAGATAGATGGTCGAGTAATGTGAATATGGATATTGACATGGACATGGGCATTATTTTGATTTTGATTTTGGTTCTCACACTGACTTTTATACTGATCTCCATATAGAAGATTGACTAGACGTGTTATGGTTGTGCATGTCCGGCGCATTTTGTCTGTTTGCCATTCGTTAAACTTTTATTTCTTTTCTTTTCATCACATTCCCTGGTCACTTTTCCTTTGTTCATTGAAAAATTCCTTCGATTACCGGTTGGTTTCTTGTTAGATATAATCTCCGAACTAATAGTATATTACTGGTGAATCAAAGACAGATTATCGTACTGTAAATCTAAAGCTATATGTTCAAAGAAGCTAAAGCACAAAATGCAAAGAGTAAGGGAATGTGGAAGGCAAGAAAAATGCTCGCAGCACCACATATATGACCAAAAATGGCTGGAGACTAAAGAAGCCAAGAGTCGTGATCTCAAGACCACAACTCTGCTTCTGTAGGTCTCCTTTTAGCTCCGCCCAACCAAGACGGCAACCCGGGAAGCCAATCCGACAGCCAGGAAGGAAGCCAACCTGGTTTCCGCTTCGAGAATGGCAACTTCGCTACAAAGGTCTCCCAACGAGTGGGGGGACGCCAAGGCCAAGAAATTGATGATTTTGAAGGCGAGAAAAGAGACTTCACTGAACGTTGCCATGATGCAAATAATGAAGGAGGCGAAGCGGACCAAGGCAGCGAAGAAACATGAAGGCCCATCCATCCCTGCTTTTTTTGTTTGCGCCCCTCATTCTTGAACGCTTCGACGATACGATCGAATTGTTTATCTCGGCTTTGCTGCAATTGGCGTTGGGTCTCAGAGCGCCAGGCGTCTTGCTCTACCATGTCCAGACACCAGACTACAATGTCACCACGACGGCGCCAGTCGTCGTGCCAGTCGGTGTTGAATGTGCGCCAGCACTCGCCGTAATGGGAGCCGCGTAGCAGGGTGTAGAGGGTTGGCTCGAGCTGGGCGAAGAAGATGAGGTAGTCAGGCCATTCATGTCGTTGGGCCTCGGTGGGGGTCTTTCCTGATAAAGAATGGTATGCGGAAGAGGTGTAGCTGGGGCGGTGAGGGAGGTGACGGAGACCACCAGCCATGTTCTGGCGTAGGAATTGGGATGGATCGTCGTAGAATTGGTCTGCTTCGTCTCGGTAAACGGCTTTCTGGGTCGCATTGAGATCGATCGGTGGCTCGCAGGAAAGGGCCCAGGCGTTGATTGTCGGGTAGACTAGATGAGATCGCCAGGGTGTGCTATGGCAGGGCATTAAAAAGCCAGCAGAGATTCCGGTTTCGGAGATCGAGTTTGTTTGTTTTTTTGTTGTTGGCACCGAGTGTGCTTGGTGCTGGTGACGGAGATAAGAGAGAACCTTCAATGTTCCTGATGCATGATGGAGAGTTGTGTACAGTGCAATGACCACGTTGACAAACACAAGAAAGATGAGAATCAATCTGCGGGGAGCATGACGCGGGTATCCCCGCGAGTGGATGGCTGGGTAAAAGAATTGCACTAAAGGCGGCGCAGCTAAGATGTGCAGACATGGCAGCAATGGGTAGATGAAACGCACTTCCTTATGAGAGATTAAAGAGAGGGCAAATGGCATCACAAGGCAGACTGTTGCCAACTGCACTCGGATTGCCGCCTGCAAACTGTTTCCCACCTTGGAATTCCGAGTCGTTAAGGTTCTGTATAAACCCCAAAGTGCGGCAGGCAACATAGTGGTGAGTAGAAGCGGATAACCCTGCGAGACATAGTAATGCCAGTCATTGCTACCATAGAAGACAGCCAGTGACTGCGCGATGTTGAAGTATAGGAACCTAAGCGGTGGGAAAGTCCAAATTCCATAGAAGAGACGGTCCGCAACGGAAGACACCGCGAGAATTGCCGATCTATCAGATCAAAAGGTCAGCTGGTCCCTTGTCAGGAGGTCAGATTGCTTACCCGCAAACTATAATCTCGAAAATGAGGATCTTGCGCTGGGGCCAAGAGGTCCGAAGCCAAGCGAGGCCAGCCAGGGTTGCCCAGACGATAATGTTGGTCGGACGCAGTATACATGCGAGCGCCGCCAGTGGCAGGCATTTGTGGAGGCTGCAAGCACCGTCAGTGGCTGTTGCCAGAAAGTTGGAGGTTTGGTCATACCCAAGAATCACACTTCGATCCCGGTCCGTGCCCCTCATTTGATTGCCAGTGTTTTTGCCGCGGCCGTCGCCGGCTGTAGAGCCTACCGACCATTGCCATGGCCATAGTTCCAACGCAACAATGGTTATTGTTGTCTCGAGGCAGTTTGACAGTGTCCTAGTTGAGCAGAACCATTGCCAGGGATTTAGGACGGTTGCGACCAGCTATTGTACAATTAGCACGCGCTCTTTCCTGCCAACCTAGGGAAATTCTAAACACCCGACATATAATCACATACCGTTGTCCACGATCCACGGGAATCATTTCCATAGACGCGAACTGCGAGCTTCCATGTATAGAAATCACCAATTGCCGCCACAACGGCCTGCGCTGTCTTTGGAGCGGCAATCAGGAGCTCTGCGCGCGTGGCGGGAGACACGCTGAGGGTAGAGGCGAGGAAATCGGCGACTTTATAGATAGTGGCAAAGAATAAAGGATGTAGTGAGGATCGGAGTTGGTGCCGCCATTCCTAGGAGCGCGATATTGAGGTTAGCCAAAGCTATATGTCGACGCGATCGCACTCACCCATGTCACCCAGGCGCCTTGGCCCTGACCGAACGCGATCTGCCAAGCTGGCTCCAGTGACTGAAAGTATTCATCTGGCTGGAAAAAGGTCCGAACTGTAAAGGCATTGAGGAGACGGAAGGCGATGAGGAAGAGGAGTATGTTTTGAGTGGGCGGGAAGGTTTGAGGCGCGCGGCGCGAAGAAGTTGGTTTAGACATAATTAAGGATAAGAATATTGTGAATGTTCATTCATTCCCTCGTACATTGCGCTTAGAGGCTGAAGGCTGACCTCACAAAGTGCGTGAACATGGACAAAGGAGAAAGCGGAAGATGTTCTCCAACTCCGAGGCTCGACCTACTCGATTCGACTTAGCATTCTTCAGCACTCTTCAACATTTCCACCCTTGGTCTCTTTTGTTTTTTTCATGGGTTTTTTTGTTCCAACCTAATCGATATTGATTTAGTCTTTTCTTCTCTACAGATCTTCAAGATTCAAGTATAATTTCAGCTCCTTCAATAACCGCTGTATGACGTGCATTTTTCTACCCCGGTGATTTAAATTAGACCAATAGTTACGAGGCTAAACATGATCCTAGAGCATATCTAGTCCAGGAACGAATCAGAAATCGTGGTTATTCAAGCCAATGGAGCCCTGTAGGGTAATCCTGCGCATAGGGAACAACATCGGCACGACCTGTACTTAGCGGACATTCGGTCTCAAGTCTAACACTTAACGGCATAGCGTACAAAGGGAAAAATTCCCCTTACTTATATAACTTCTCTTGTCCATTCTTTTGCTCTTGAATTTCTTATTTCTTATATCTCTCTTCCTCTCCTTCTTTACCCCATTGTCGATCCTCCCTCTCCAACTTTCCTCCCCGCAATCCACCATGTCTACCGGGCCTTTCTCCCACTACCATGCTGCCTCTTCTGCCGAGGCTATTGAGTCCGAGGAGCAATATGCTGCTCATAACTACCACCCTCTCCCTGTTGTCTTTGCCCGGGCTCAGGGTACTTCGGTCTGGGACCCCGAAGGTCGTCACTACCTTGACTTCCTCTCTGCCTACTCCGCTGTGAACCAAGGCCACTGTCACCCCAAATTGATTGCCGCACTGGTAGACCAAGCTTCGCGAGTAACTCTGAGTTCCCGTGCATTCTACAATGACGTTTTCCCTCGTTTTGCCAAGTTCGTTACCGAATACTTCGGCTTTGACATGGTGATGCCCATGAACACCGGCGCTGAGGCCGTTGAGACAGGTATCAAAATTGCCCGGAAATGGGGATACAAGGTCAAAGGCATTCCGGAAAATCAAGCCGTTATCTTGAGTGCAGCGAATAACTTCCATGGACGTACAGTAAGTGAATAGTATCCCCTATTTGTTACACCCGTGTAGGTAAACATCAATGGCCGATTCTGACCCCTTGCATTAGTTCGCCGCCATTTCCCTATCTTCCGATCCCGAGTCACGCGAACACTACGGCCCTTATCTGCCCGGTATCGGATGCACGATCCCGGGAACCGACAAGCCCATTGCCTACAATGATAAGGCAGCTCTGCGCGAGGCGTTCGAGGCAGCTGGTCCAAACCTGGCCGCTTTCCTTGTCGAGCCTATCCAGGGTGAGGCAGGCATTGTTGTCCCCGACCCAGACTACCTGCAGCAGGCCCGGGAACTCTGCGACAAGCACAATGTGCTGCTGATCTGCGACGAGATCCAAACCGGTATCGCGCGCACGGGTAAGCTGCTGTGCCACGAGTGGAGCGGAATCAAGCCCGATCTTGTCTTGCTCGGCAAGGCTATCTCGGGTGGTATGTACCCAGTCTCTTGCGTGCTTGGTAGCAAGGACGTCATGCTCACAGTCGAGCCGGGTACCCATGGTTCGACCTACGGCGGAAACCCCCTTGGCTGTGCCGTTGCTATTCGCGCGCTCGAAGTCGTGCGCGAGGAGCACATGGTCGAGCGTGCAGAGAAGCTCGGCCACTTGTTCCGGGATGGGCTGTTGGCTATCAAGAGCCCGCTCATCCAGACAGTGCGTGGAAAGGGCCTGCTCAATGCCATCGTTATTGATGAGTCAAAGACGAATGGACATACCGCTTGGGATCTGTGCATGTTGATGAAGGAGAAGGGTTTGCTGGTATGTATATGAGCCCCTACTCGTTGAGTTTATTTCGGAGATCGCTGACTCTTATATTCTCTAGGCCAAGCCCACCCACCAGAACATCATTCGCCTCGCTCCCCCGCTGGTCATCACGGAGGAGGAGATCCA